ACCCTCCCCATCGATCCTGCCTTGAGTATAACGGGGCGGTGCCCCAACCCCCCAATCGGCCCTACCCTGAGCGTGACTGAGGGTGGCATCGCAACCTCCCAATCCGCCCTGTTCTGTGCATGACAGGGGGACGGCGCCCCAGCTCCCCAATTGGCCCTGCTCTGAGCCCGACCAGGGTCTGCACCTAGGGATTGGGCCTGCCCTCTGCCACCCGGGAGCAGGCCTAAGCCAGCAGGTCGTTATCTCCCGAGGGGTCCCAGACTGCGAGAGGGCACAGGCCAGGCTGAAGGACCCTCCTCCTCCTCCCCGAGTGCACAAATTTTTGTGCACTGGGCCTCTAGTAAAAATAATAAAAGAAGATGTAGGTTCCTTAAGTAGGTGGCAGACTTAGTTTATTATATTAAATTTTTCTTTTAAATATTTTTGTTCTAAGCTGGCTCATAAATCTTTTTGTTCTACTGCTATAACAGAAGATTGGGCAGTTTTTACATAGAATACTATCATAAATTACTTTTATAGAGACACTAAAATTATAGACCATTATGTTGTAATGCCAAACATGTTTCTGTAAAACCTTAAGTTCTGTAAAATTGCTCACTAAAGCTAATAGGGCTTATGAAAAAAATAGAAATGGGTCATACTGTTCTAGATCTGTGAAACTTTATAACCAGATACTAATAAAAATGAGAGTAGTAATCCTAATAAAAATAAATAATATTAGTATAGTTAAATCTTTGCAGGCACTTATATTGAGCATCAAAATGAGTTTGGAGCCCTAAATCCTGGGGCTCATGTTTTCTCCTTATAACTGTAGAACCTAGAAAGCATTTGTTTTTTAATAAAGACTGTTTTAATCAAAACTTGAAATCTGATTCAGGGTATAGTCTTCTTCATTAACCTATTTTTCAGGTGAAGGAAGGTATTGTCACCCCATCTGCACTCATTACTCTGCCAGATGGTTAATACAGTAGAAAGCGTAGCAATTTTCTAATGCAACTACTTGCATTAAAGGAAGGCAGTTGTGTACGGTTGATGTTGCTCAATGGTTGAGTGTCAACTATGAACCAGGAGGTCATGATTTGATTCCTGGTCAGGGCACATGCCTGGGTTGGAGGCTTGATCCCCAGTAGGGGGTGTGCAGGAGGCAGCCAATCAGTGATTCTCTCTCATCTTTGATGTTTCTATCTCTCCTTCTCCCTTATTTTAAATCAATAAAAATAGATTTTTAAAAAAAGAAGGAAGGCAGTTCCATAGATATTCAGCTTTTTCCTGTGATCATCATTTATTGATTGCTAAGGTCTTCTCTTTAACTATGAGAAAACTTTCTTCTGATTGTGTTAAACATTAATATACTGGAGAAAATTGCTATGAGCACCCATAATTTCTGCATTATAGGAGTATTCTCCTATTTTTATCAGTTGTATATGCGGTAATTTTATTCAAAGAAGCAGATGTTATAGCAAACATAATTGCGTATTAGAAAACTAATCTATTAAATATATAAAGTACAAACATACAATAAATTTATTTCAATGTTTTCTTAATCTGTTCTTTCAAATGGCATTACTGACTGGGTGAAGAAAGAAAAGGACAAAACTGCAATGATAATGAGCTACAAAATCCAAACCTAACTATTAGAAAGGAGAAAGAATTTGCAGAGAACTTTTGAATGATTAGCCTTTGAGTATCATAGTAATGAAAAACTTCAGTTTTGCATTTTATTTTTTATATAAGAACTGACATTTTATTTATTTTTATTCTTTTGTCAGGGTAAGTTAGAATTCATTTTGTCTTTCCATACACTAAAATAAAAGGTTAAACAAGGTAGAATTTTAATTCTATCTCATGTAAAAAAAATACCCAAAAGGTGGTAAATGAAGACAGTACAACTACTTCCACATTTCCCCTTTGTCTTCACTAAGGTGAAATATTTATTCTCACAGCTGTGCCATTGTATCTACATTACAAGTAGCAGAATGGAGCACCCCTTTCTTTAGAATTCTCCAGTAATTAATTTCCACTAATATCACATTGCATTGGCCACTTAGATATATGTTCAGATATAACTATAAGAAAAACAGAGAAATGCATTTTGTAAAATTTACTTAATTCTTTAATTGTTTTTATTATTTTTTAATTTTTTATTGTTTGAAGTATTACATATATGTCTCCTTCTTTGGCAACATTCTTTTTTAAAAAAATTTTCTTTATTGATTAAGTTTTACATATGTGTCCTTATCCCTTTTTTGCCCCCCATCCTCCTACTCATGCCCTTACCCCCACCCTCCCCTACGTTCCCTCTGAGGTTTAACAGTCTTATCAATGCTTCTCTGTCTCTGGATCTGTTTTTGTTCATCAGTTTATGTTCTTCATTATGTTCCACAAATGAGTGAGGTCATGTGATATTTATCTTTCTCTGACTGGCTTATTTCGCTTAGCATAATGCTCTCCAGGTCCATCCATGCTGTTGCAAATATTTTAGTCTTTTTCATAGTCTCCCTGTGAAATTAGTAAAAAATTGCACGTTTCCTATTTTACATAGGCAGAAGCTAATACAAGGAAAGTTATTAGCCAAAGTAATATATTTCCATTAATATGAGAGTATAAAGAAAACTTTGTGTTCCCTGGTTTATATATCAAGTAAGATATTAGAATCCTGTAACGTGTTGAACCATTGCAAAGAAGTTATATCTTCATTTATATAAAATTTTGCATCAAGTAAGATTAGATATAAGTTTAGCACTGGTTGTCTCCTACAGAAGTTTAAAAGTTTCACTGATTATATTTAAACATACTTATTAAGCTTTGTAATGGAAATAACAATAAAAGAAAAGCAAATCTTAGTATTCTCAGTCAGTGCTCATATAAAATTGGTCTTTTATGTAGGAACTATTTTCTGAAATACTGGCACAAAGTTAACACAATAAGAAAATTATCAAGAGTATAAAACTTGATAAAAAATCTTAATTTTCAGTAGCTTTGTGAACTTTAAAACTGCTCATTCTGTTTATAAGCTGTGCCTGGATGATAGACCTGATATCTACTAGTAATTCTGTAATTGTCCCCCACTTCACTTTGCCACTTCAGAGTTTAGAGTTTTCTTGTCTGAGGTTTTTGTGGAATATCCTATATTATTGCTGACTTATGACATTGGTTATAAATACATTGGAAATAGCTTCCAATTGCAATAATAGCCTGAAAGCAATAGGAAAAAAGAGCAAGATAATTATTATAAACATACCTATGTGTCATATTATTTCTTTTGAATCTTTTTTACTTACTATTAAAAGAATAAGTGTGTGTTATTTTCACTAGTCATTACATGCTTATGAATAAAGTTACTTTGGGTTTGCGGTTGTTCTTTGTTTTTCCTTTAAAAGGAAATATTATTTCTACTTCAGGTGATGGAGAAGATAACCGACCAGGAATGAGAGGAGGCCATCAGATGGTTATTGATGTTCAAACAGGTGAGGGATACTTGCAGTGGAAAGCAAATTTTAAAATAAATTTATGCATTTTTAAATATCAGGTAAACATGAATTTTCTTTCTATTCATTCCAAAGGTTAAATGTTAATGCCCATACCAGGGAGCAAGGAAAATAGGCATTAGCCACAGGTATAATCTAAACTAGGTAGTAACCCATGCTGCTGAACAAATGAAATTAAATAACCTAAAAGAAATGTAATGTGTAGCCTTTTATA